AAACAATGCCATTGTTGAGACTAAAGAAAATAATAATAATGATGATGATAATGACACTAAAAGTGAGTTAAAAAAAATAATAATAAAAGAAAAAGTAATAAAGCATCCAATACAAGAAAAAGAATCAATACACGATCAACATTCAAATTTCTACCCTTTCAAAATCTGTATTCATTATAGATCAGGAGATGGTTAAAGAATATTAGCATCTTGAAAATTTATCATTAATAATGTAATAAAAATAATAATAAATAATCATTAATTAATCAGTTTTTGTAATAAACATCTTATCAGTTTTAACAAAAAAGATATAAAATAGTAGTGGTGGTGGTGGTTATTGGTCTGTTACCTGCTACTCTAGTTTCATTTAATTAAATTATGCACTTTGAGAAGACCATTTGCTGATTCTTACAGTTTATAGTACTAGAGTATTGATATTTATTTTTTATAGCAAATATCTCCTTTTATTTTTGAATAAAAAAACAGAATTTATCAAGATTATTTACTTTTTAAACAATAAATTTATTAAACCTACATCTTGACAATGATTAAAATAAGTTAAAAATATATGAAATAAAAATATAATAATTTCTGAATTTTCATTCGAAGGTAAATTAATAATGCTTTTTAGTTAAACAAATATTTTTATTTATTTTGACTAAATTAAGCATGTAAATTATTATTAATTATAAATACATAAATAATACGTAAATACATAGTAATAGTACATAAAAAAATTTCTAAAAATACAAATTAGCAGAAAGTGTATTAATTCAATCTACCCAGAAACAAGAATAATATAGAAACCTATTATAAAAGTCATTTGTTCATTAAGATCATAAAAAACAAGATTATGATTTATACTTATTTTCAATTTCAAATAGTTACATCAATAAAATAAGATAATACCACCTTTTAACGATTAAAAATAAAATTTTGTGTATAATCCCTTATTATTATTATTATTTTTTACAAATCAAAAATTATATCAAAAATTTATTTATGTTATTTAGAGTTTTCAATATAGTTTTTAAATCTCGGTCCAATTCATTAAATCTTGTATTAAATTTATTTTCTATGTTAGTAAATCTCTCATCAACGTTTAAAATAGGATCTAGAACTTCGTCATTATGACCGACATTCTTTGATAATTTCCTGTTTGATTTCGAATTGGTCTGCAATTTATTTTTCGATTTAGACGACAGAAAAATTTCTTCATCAATAAACGAAATTGTATCAATATTTTTGGTTGGGCTAGATTCAATAGAATCCGAATCCGTAACACTTGAAGAACCTCTATCTTGATTTTTTTTCGAATAATCTAAAATTTATAATAAAAATTAAATTAAATTTACAATATACTTGATTCACGTTAAGATTGAAAATGATGCAAGAGAATTATCATGCAAATTCTTTATTATCAATTATCACCTTGATAATCATCATCATTGTCATCATTATCATCATTATTATTGTCATTATCATCGCCATCATCAGTATCGCCATCATCATTGTCGCCATGATAATTTAAATCTGTTAATTCGGCTAAATTCGCGCCCATAAGACGTAATTCTCGTTTCTCGTCCTTTTCAGTTTCCGTAAGCCAGGTATCAATCATATCAGGATCAGTTATATAATAAATGTCTCGAGGATTGCCTCTTTTACTAAAAAAAATTTTTTCTAAAGATTCATAATCAGCGACAATTTCAGCACGGTGTTTATAAGCTGCTGTACGACCTTCCTTATGTGCTCTTTCAAATTCACCACTATGTAATTAAGAGAAATTAAGAGAATTAAAGTTATAAAGTTATAAATTAAAAATTTTTACTTTTAGAATTATAATGCGCAATTTATAATAATTAGACAAAAACTTACTTCATAAACGCGATCAACATATTTTGGAAAATTAACACCAATATTATACTTCCTAGTATACTCATTGCACATACAGCATAACTATCCCATTGGTCTAGTTGATCCCATCGTCCATTGGTCCAAAAGAATATAGCTATTACCGATAAATATGGATTTGAATAGTAATTATCAAGCCAGGAAGATTTATCGATATCCTGATAAATTGTTAAATTCGAGTATAAGTCTGAATTCGAAGTGTCGTTAATTTTATAAGTAGGAATTGATAAACTTGAGTCATCCTGATTAATAAGAATGAACCTGGAGACAATCGCAATAACAAATAAAATAAAGTATAATAAATTAATTTGTAATGTTTAAAATAATGAAAACAAAATTCATTAGAATTATTATAATTACATAGCGTGACCAAATGCAATTATGGCAATTAACATGAATAAAAAGAATGGCCAAATAATTTTTAAAATATTTTTGATGATATAGATAAAATGTCCTGGATCTATAAACCATCTCAAGAGTATAATCTATAAATAAATAAAATAATATTAATAGAATAGAGAATAAATAATTATTATAAAAATAATAAAAATAATAATAAAATACTAATAAAATTTGCTTCGTCCAGAAAGAGAGAAAAGTAGACTAAAAAAAAAGATTTACCAATTCAAGCCACAAAATCAAAGTTGTAAACGCTAAAAAAGTATTATATGCTGATTTGTGAAAAATGAGTACTTGATGATCATATAAAATTGCTGCTATATAATTTAATAACGGTAATATCACTGATATTTGATCAACCATATTAGAAATTTTTACATATTTACGTCCTCCTCTTTTTATTTGCAATACCTCTGTAACAATTAAATACCATCCACTATATATAAATAAAACGTGGCAAATTTTTAATATTACATTTGATTTGATGTTAAATAAATAAGCCATTTTTGATGATCCCTTATATGAATACGAATCAATTACTAAACCAAACGAATTAATATAAAAAAAATACACGAGGATATAACGAATACAATATAGACGGGCAGCTGCCCATTTAAAATCTAAGACAGCCATAAATGCAGGTGTCCGATAGATTTCATCATCTATCTCTTCATGGATAATACGAAGAAAGGGACTCATTTGTTTAGTATCATTAATAACTTTCCTACGTGGCCACAAAAGTATTCGAAAAAGAGAAAAAAAAATCAAAAAATATTTTTTGAAGTCTTTGAGGTCTTTGGGGTCTTGATCTTGTGAGTCTTTGGGATATACTGTAAAATTAGGTAATGGGACCATACAAACTTTACGATCAGATGCAGATTGAAACGAATAATACAATCTTTTAACATTTTTTAAAAAAAATGGACAATTAGTAAAAAGACAAAAATGACATAACTCTTCTTTATAATCAATAATTATAATTACCTTGTAAATGGGTTTAACCATAGAGTATAATTGAACTTTAATGGTAAACCCGGTTTTACTAACAAAGAATGTATCACAGTTGCGTTATCTCCTCTTTTTTGTTCAATAGGATTAATATTTAATGGCGGAGTGTAAGCTTCAGTAGTTCCAAAACATGGTTTTTTGAATAAATATTGAACCAATTCACCTTTTGAAAAAATCAACAGAAGAAAGTTTAATTCAATTTGAAAGTGATTAATTAATTAATATAATTAAATGAAAGTAAAGATTTTAACTTACTCAATTTAGCATCATATAGTGAAGGTATTGCTTCGCTTACAGTAAACATCCAACCATAATTATTATATTCTTTAGTATTATCAGCATAATAATCTATTAAATATTTTAAAATTACTGTAGAATCTTTTCTTTTTTGAACACACGAAATAGCATGATGTAAATCTGACTTCAATATTTTGGTCCTATTATTATCTTCCCATCCATATAATCTCGGAATATATATATTACAATTTTTATCATTAATTTTCACATTTAAAATATGCTTTATTAAACCTTCTCGATGACTTTTAATCAGATATTTCATAATTGGATATCTAATACTTGTTAATCTAAATATTCCATATTTTGTAATATATTTTCGTACTAATCTTTTTGTACTTTCAATCAAAGATTCAATTTGATTAACACTCTCTAAACTAATTACGGAATTTGCACGTTTCTTCTCTCCTAATACATAAAGGGATCGACATGCTCCTTCAAGAACATTTACATTATTTGGCCAATGTATTGTAATTATTTTTGATGGGGAACATTTAGTAGGAGTAGGAAGTACTAAACTTTTTAATACGAATTCTCGTTCTCTAACTTCTAGTTCTTGAACATTATTTATCTTGTTTTTATGAGCCCAGATATATTCTAATACCCGATCATTTTCATCAAGTTTTTCATTATTATTACTACGATATTTCCATACTTGTATAGTGTTTGGCGATATAATAAGTTTAGTTCTTTTAGTAGAATCCAAGAAAACTGACATTTGGAAATAATTTTTGCTTGGATGCCATGGTTCAACTTTATCGATACTTATTTGATCACCTAAATTCCCATCTAAAATATAATCACTCGGAGTAATACCTGGAGATGTCTTTTCCTTCTTTGGTGGATTTAAAATATTTAAAATTGATTTAACTTTATCACGATCTAATATTGAAATAACTTCTTCACTGTCTCCACTATCTCCACTATCTCTTACCGCAAACATATTTCCATGAGAATTCATTAATCTATGTTTGAGATGCATTTTTAGGGGGTCGGGATAATCAATTTGACGTATGGAATTTTCAAATGTGGTAAATAAATCCCATACTACAATTATTTGACGCTTAGAATTTTTACCTTGTCGATCTTTTTTTTCAAGGACTATTAAAAGTTTATTATCATCATCAATAAAATTTATCGCAATAATTTTATAAATTCCTCCTTGACCTTCTAATCGTTTAGTAGCAATTTCTAAACCATTTTCCATAGAGTATAACGTAATGCTAGTGGTCCCCTGACAAAATGCTAAAATCTTTTCATTTTGAGAGATGGAAAATATAGGCGAACTACGAATTATGTCGGGAGCTATCGAAGATTCATAACGTATAAATAACATCTCTAGATCGCCAGTAATTAAACTATACATTTCAATGATTTGTTGTCGATTTTCAAAAGAATGTACCATAAAATGATTTTTAATAATACTTTTGTGCAAACGTTTAAGCGAATTTTGCCATGTATCACGTGAAAGACAAAGTAAAAGTCGTTCGGGTAATTCGAATTGTTCATTCTTGGAGAAAATCAAATTTCTTTTCGTTCCACCACGTGCGCCCTTACGATTCATGTTCATGGTTTTTTTAAGAATTCCCGATTCATTTACTAAAATGATTACTATTTTATTTTTTAACGGTTGATCACTATAATCATCATCACTATTAAGAAATCTTATAACACCACCGCTTTTTAATTCTAAAGAAGTACGTATTTCTTTTATATCCGTAGCACCGCCAATTGATTCTAAAGAAGTACGTTTTTCTCCTATATTAGTAACACCGCCAATTGATTCTAAAGAAGTACGTATGTCTCTTATATCAGTCGTGGAGATCACCCATGTTTGACCTTCGTTAATATTAACTTTATCACTACCAGATTCTAATCCTTTTTCTTCATCAACATATTGGTTATTAACTTTACTTGAAGATCCTAAGTCTTTTTCGTCATGATTATATTGGTCATTAGGCTTACCATCCGAGTCTAAGTTCTTTTTTTTATCATCAAGTTAGAATTTTCTTCCATCAAAACAAGATAATGCAATAAGACGTTCATCTTTATCAACGTCTACTCGATTAGATATTGCTATCGACCAACAAAGGCGTTTATCATAAACAGCAGGTTCAGGTATTTTAAAAGATTTACTTGAAGTTAAATTATCAATATCATATAAGTTAAATTCGCTATTCCCTATCATTTTAAAAGATTTACTTGTACTCAAATCCTTAATATCATATAACTTAAATTGTCTATTTTCTATTATTTTATGAATTATTAATGATTTTTAAATAAATTATTGAAGATTAAAATTAATAAAATATTATTACAGGCAAAAAAAAATAATCGGCATAAATGATTAATAATTAACTTTACTTGGATTAAAAGTAACGATTTGCTGATTGTCTGGACTTATCGCTGCGCAATTACCGAAAAATAAAGATTCTTTCTCTGTGGAGCTAGTTTTTGATTTACCCGAGAAAACTTCATTATTTTCATTAAAACTTGATTGATCTTTTTCTGACATGTTTTGTGAACATAGCAGTTCAATGGAAGTGAATTAACATTCACTTTATATAATGATTTTTTTATGCAAGCACCTGGTTGACTTCGTTTAGGCTCTGATCTGATATAGATTCCTGTGGGATATCAAATGCGAGTTTACATAATTTAATGCCATTGGTATGCACAAGCCATATGAAAAATAATTATTCATTATTTCTTTTTTCAGAAATGAGCATCGCATTTATGCACCGAATAAATGCTTCTCACTTAATTCATTAATTTTTTTATTGATTATTTCTGTTTTTTTTTTATACTATATTATTTTTTTAAAGAAAATACTAAAAATGCCATTTGTATGCACGGAATGCATTAAAGCCCCTTTATTTCTTTTTTTTTCAGAAATTGTACAATAGGAACATTCTCTGAATAGTTGAAAATATTTTATTGTTTCGTGCGCGAAAGCATATAATAAGATGATGCCATTGGTATGCACAGAATGCCATTGAATTTATTATAGATCAAATCGGAAATAGGTTTGATTGTCATTATATTTATCATTTCATCCTAATAAAAATAACAAATTCAAATTCATTTTTTTAAAAGATATATGGCATAATCTATCCGATAGACTGCATGCATGCTGTAACCTTTACATAATTATTAGAGTTATTAAAGTATAAATTAATTTATTAAATAAATTAATTCCCTATTAAGTCGTAATTTTAATAAAAATTCAATGATCATGTTTAAATACACATTTATATATTCAAATGAATTAAAAGAAATATAACTAATATATAAATACTATAGTGTGGTGACACGAGTCTTACCGAAATCACGGGAGATGATATGAGATGAGATGTGTCACTATTTGGATGAATTTCCTTGTGTGTCCAGGATAACGGATTATTTTATCCTGGTACTTATGGATGACAGAGGATGAAGGTAAATAGAAAGGAAAATTATAAAATAGCTGCGGCTGAAAAGAAGAAAAAGAGAGATTCCTCTCTCGCGAAACTTTTAAAATTCATATAATATTTTACCTTAATAACAAATTTTTTAATAATTTTAATAACAAATAATTTCGTAATAATCCTAATAATTCATAATTACTTTTCTTATGTTTTTATAATAAATCATTTCTCAAATAATCTTAGTAATACAAATAGTTTCGAATAGTCTTTAATAATAAATAATTTTCGTAATAGTTTTAAATTTTAAATAGTAATAAATAATTTCGTGTATCGGAATAGCAATAGGGATAAAATACGCCAACGCAGTAATATATCTCTATTGATCTATTTTTTTAATAAATTCTAATAAACATTTTAATAAACTTTTCTATCTGCAGAGAAATAACTATTGCTTTATTCTCTTCCAGAATTCACTTTCAATAAAACAAATTAGGATTACTTGTTATTAATTATTATTTTTGGAAAATATTTTTTATTTTTATTAATAATGGAGATAATAATCGAAAAATAAATAAATAAATCAAATATTGAACGAAACTTTTATCTTCCCAAGTTGTATTTTTCTATTTTAATTTTTTATCATCGTAAATCAAATCTAAAACATGTAGAAATTCAAGTAATTTTAACCAAATTAATAAAAAAATAAATAAATACGATAATAATAAATTTAATAATTTTTAGTAATTATTATTATTATTACATTCATTATCTGTTCTGTTATTATACATACATAGTATAAATTAATTTTATTGTAAGATGAAAGAATTAACATTTTTTTCCCATTGAAAGTTATTATTTAATTCTTTAAAGTAATACTTAAAATGGATCAAGTAACTTGATATGAAAACTTTAAAAATTGGCAATAACCTGAGTTATCGATTATTGAATTTTTTTAATACATCATCATTCCATCTCAGTTTATCTGGAAACCCGAGTATTAGCTAGTAGTTTTTTGGCTGTATATTTAATCAGAAATGGTCTCCAGTTCTTATCTTAAATTCAGCATATATTGAAATCATAAATAAATTGAAAAGAAATAAAATGCTCAATAGAAAATTTTTAGTAAAATTGTTAACACATTACAAGCTAAGAAAAATAATAAGTTTTATATATATTTAACGTATTTGCTATTATTAATAATTAAGATAGTTTATTATTTATTTAACCATTTTTGATTAAAGAAAAATATATACTCTAAAATTATTTTTTATTAAATAGTATTTTAAAAATAAATTCTTAAATATTAAAAATCTTATTTCAAATTACTTTTCATATTTTCATATATAAACTATAGCATTAAAATCAATAATAGTGTTCTAAATAAATTTGATTTTATGTAATTTCATCCGAAAAGCTAAACACCAATTGAACTCCATTGAAAGAATTGTTTTTACTGTAAATTTATAATACAACTGAAAAAAAAAAGCTATATAAAATTAAAAATGTGAAATATCCTCGATAAAAAAAATACCTCATTTAAGTCTTGAATAAAAAAAAAAACAGACTTTTTACATCAAATTCTTCATTATAAATATTTTATACAATATTATTTAATTATCTAAACAACCAATATTTATTTATCACCTCATTTAACGACCATTTATTTGAAACTTTATATCATATGAATGAACGATAATATTGGAGAAGATTAAACTATTTATTAAGCTTTGCATTTTATTGAACTTACTCTCCCGATAGTAATTTAAAATAGTTAAAGTATATGAAAAAATCGAAATAATTTTCATTTGAATGTAATTTATTAATGTTTTTTAAATTAAACCTATTCTTATGATTTATTTTTGGTCACATAATATGAAATAATAATAAATTGCTGAATTATAAATACATAAATAAATTCACGAACACATATTCTATACATTAAAAAATTTATAAAAAAATGTATTATTGAGAAATGGAAAAATCTGTCCCTTACTCAGAATAACATAGAAACCTTCTTATAAAAGCCATTTGATTCATTGAGATCATAAAAAAAATTCTGATTTATAAATATTTACATCAATAATAACAAGCCAATGCCACATTCCTTTTTTTGGCGAGCATGTAACGAATTATAGAATTATACCTAAAATTTTTTCCTATTTGGGATTATTTAGGTTATTTAAAGTCTTTAATATAGTTTTTAAATTTTGTTCTAATTCATCAAATCTTGTATTGAATTCATTTTTTAGGTTATTAAATCTCTCATCAATGTCAGCAGTAGGACCTATATCTTTGAATAAAGATTCATTACTTGATTTCAAATTCAAATTGGTATGTGATTTCTTGTTCGATTTAGATGTAACAACTTTTGACAGAAAGATTTCATCATCAAAAAATGAAATTTTACCAATATCTAAATCACTTGAAAAACCTTGATTTGGTATATTATCTAAAATTTACAATAAAATTTAATTAAATTTATGATAAACTTGATTCAAGGTGGGATTAAATACGTTTTTGCAAGAGAATTCACACCTTGATCATCATCATCATCATCATCATCATTATAATCAAAATCTGGCAATTCAGAATTAATATGAAGTAATTCTTGCTTCTTATCATCCTTTTTAAGTTTCTTAAGCCAGGCATCAATCACATCAGGATTAGGTATATAATAAATGTATCGAGGATCGCCTCTTTCACTACCAGATGGTTTTACAAGAGCTTCATATTTAGCAACAAATTCAGCACGAAACTTAAAAGTTGCTGTAAGGCTTTCTTCATTTGCTTTCTCAAACCCACCACTAGGGAATTAAAAGAAATCAAGAGAATTAAAGTTATAATCCAACTTTAAGAGATTTTTTTAATGCACAATTTTTAAACAAAATACTTACTTCATAAATGCGATCAATATATTTTGGAAAATTAAAACCAATATTATACTTCCTAGTATACTTATTAGATCTACGGAAGGATAATCCCATTGATTTAATTGATCCCATCTTCCATTGATCCAAAAGAATACGGCTTCTATTGATGAAATTAGATTTGAATAGTAATTATCAACACGAGAAGATTTATCAATATCCTGATAAATTGTTATATTTGAATATAATCCTGAATTCGAAGTGTCGTTAATTCTATAAGTAGGAATTTGTAAACTTGAGTCATCCTTATTGATAAGAATAAACCTGAAATATAATAAAATATATCAAATTACAATAAATTAGTAATGTTTAAAATAATGAAAACAAAATTCACAATAATTATTATAATTACATAGCGTGACCAAATGCAATTATGGCAATGAACATGAATGCAAAGAATGGCCAAATATGTCTTAAAATACTTTTAATTATATAAATAAAACGTCCTGGATATACAAAATATCTCATTAGCAATATCTGTAAATGAATAAAATAATAGAATAAAAATAAGAAAAATAAGAATAAAATGTTAAATTTTTATTTCGCCCGGAAAGAGAGAAAGAGAGAAAGAGAACCTACCAATTCAAGCCATAAAACTAAAACAGTAAGCGCTAAAACAGAATTATATACTGATTTTTGCAAAACTATTTCACGTTCGTATAAAATACCCGCTATATAATTCGCAAAGGGTAATAGCACCGATAGTAGATCAAACATATTAAAAAAATTCACATATTTACGACCTTCTCTTTTTAATTCCATAATCTCCATAGTGATTAAATACAATCCAGAATATGCATACACGATGGGAACAAATTTTAATATTATATTTGATTCTATTTCAAGTAAATAAACTATTTTTGATGCTTTCTTGAATGGATATGAATCAATTATTATACCAAATGAAATAATATATAATATATACAAAATGATATAACGAAAAAATAATTGACGAGCAGCTGCCCATTTGAAATCTAAGACTGCCATAATTGCAGGTGTCCGATAGATTTCATCACCTTTCTCTTCATAAATTACACGAAGAAAAGGACTCATTTCTTCAGTATTATTAATAATTTTTTTACGTGGCCACAAAAGTATTCGAAAATAAGAGACTAGCATCCAAAAATAATTTTCACATTTGGGGTGGGGGCCTCTGGGGTATACTGTAAAATCAGGTAATGGGACTATATAAACTTTAGGATCATAATCTGAAGTTTGAAACCAATAAAAGAAACTTCCGACATTTTTAAAAAATAGACAATTAGTAAAAGATAATAATGACATTACTCTTTTTGATCAATAATTATAATTACCTTATAATTCGGGTTTTTAAGAAAAAATATGGGTTTTTTAAGAAACGAAATAGAAAATGTGGAAACCCTGATGCAAGACACGGTTTTACTACCAAAGAATGCATCATCTCTGAGTTATATCCTCTCTTTTTATCATAAGAAGTAATGTGTAATGGTGAAGTGTAAGCTTCAGTAGTTCCAAAACATGGTTTTTTGAATAAATATCGAACAAATTCACCTTTTGAAAAATTTAAAGAAGAAAGTTTAATACAATTTGAAAGTGATTAATTAATATAATTGAAAGAAAGTATACATTTGACTTACTTAAATCATTATCATATAGTGAAGGTATTGCTTCGCTTACAGTAAACATCCAACCATAATTATTATATTCTTTAGCATTATCGGAATAATAATCTATTAAATATTTTAAAATTACTGTAGAATCTTTTCTTTTTTGAACACACGAAATAGCATGACGTAAATCTGACTTCAATATTTTGGTTCTATTATTATCTTCCCATTCATATAATCTCGGAATATATATATTACAATTTTTATCATTAATTTTCACATTTAAAATATGCTTTATTAAACCATCTTGATGACCTTTAATAAGATATTTCATAATTGGATATCTAATACTTGTTAACCTAAATATTCCATATTCTGTAATATATTTTCGTACTAATCTTTGTGTGCGTTCAATCAAATAGTCAATTTGATTAAGTATCCCGAAACTATTTATGGAACGTTTCTTCGCTCTTAATGCTCCTAATACATATAGGGATCGACATGCCCCTTCAAGAACATTTGCATTATTTGGCCAATGTATTGTAATTATTTTTGTAGGAGGTACTAAAATTTTTAATACGAATTCTCGTTCACCGACTCTTAATTCTTGGACATTTATCATGTTTTTTTGAGCCCAGATATATTCTAATACTCGATCACGTTTATCACGTTTTTCTATATTTTTACTACGATATTTCCATACTTGTATAGTGTTCGGCGATATAATGAGTTGAGTACTTTTAGTAGAATCCAGATAAAATTTCATGTTTGAAACATTATCTATACTTATTTGATCATCGAAAGTATTTTTCTCCAAATTAATTTTTGTTATTACATTCGCTGGTGGATTTCTAATTGAAGCAACATCTTTATGATCTAATACTGAAATAATACTTCCACTATCTCTAACCGCAAACATTTTTCCATGAGAATTCATTAATCTATATGTGAGATCCATTTTTAGGGGGTTTATAATTTCGGAATAATCAATTTGACGTATGGAATTTTCAAATGTGGAAAACAAATCCCATACTACAAATATTTGACGCTTAAGAATTTCATCTAGTTGATCTTTTTTTTCTTCAAGAACTATTAAAAGTTTGCTGTCATTATCAATAAAATTTATAGCAATGATTTTATAAATTTCTCCTTGACCTTCTAATCCTTTAGTAGTAATTTCTAAACCATTTTCCATTGAGTACAACGTGATGCTAGTAGCCCGACAAAATGCTAAAATTTTTTCATTTTGAGAGGTGGCAAAGATGGAAGAACCATAAATTATGTTGGGAGCTACCGAAGATCCATGGCATTTAAATAAAATCTCTAGATCACCAGTGATTAAACTATACATTTCAATGAATTGTTGTCGATTTTCAAAAGAATGTACAATAAAATGATTTTTAATGATACTCGTGTGTAAAAGTTCTAATATATTATGCCAATGATCATTTGAAAGACGAAGATGACTTGAAAGTTGTTTGGGTAATTCGAATTCATCAATCTTGGATGAGAAAAATCCTTTTCTTTCAATATTATATATGGTTTCTTTATAAATTCCTGACGCATTAACTATAATGATTACTGCTTTGTTTTTTAACGGTTGATCACTATCATCGCTATCACTATCAAGGAATCTTACAACACCGCCAATTTGTTCTTTAGAAGTATATATTTCATTTCCATCTGTAGCGGAGATAACCCGTGTTTGAGAAAGATGGTATTTATTACCGGATTCTAAGTCTTCTTCGTCATCACTATATTTTGAGTCATTTTCTTCGTCGTCATAAATTTCGAATTCTTTTTCACCAAAACAAGATAAAGCGATGAGACGTTCATTTTCATTGTCTACACATACAAAATTAGATAATGCAATAGACCAACGAAGGGGATTATCATCAACTACATGTTTAAGCGTAAAAGTACTTTTAACTGAACTCAAATCATCAGTATCATATAACTTAAGTTCGCGTTTCTCTATTATTAAAATAAATTATTAAAAAATTATTAAATGCAAAAAAAAATAATCAGCATATTAATTAATAAATGATTAATAATTAGCTTTACCTGGATTAAAAGTAACAATTTGTTGACTGTCTGGACTTATCGCTGTGTAATTACCGGAAAACGAAAAATCTTTCTCTATGGAGCGAGTTATTGATTTACCCGAGGAAATTGCGTCATTTTCATTAAGAGAGCTTGAATGATCTTTTTCTGACATGTTTTGTGAACATGACAGCTCAATGGAAGTAAATTTAGATTCACTTTATATAATTTTTTTTTTACACTAGCACCTGGTTGGCATCGGTTGGCTTCGGTTGGCTTCGGTTGGCTTCGGTTAGGCTCTGATATATATGGCATCATTTAAGCTTTTATATTATATTTTAAAAATTTACCAAAAATGACATTGGTATGCACAGATCCATCTAAGCTCTATAAAAAAAATTAATCATTCTTTTTTTCAGAAATTTTTACATTATATTTTCATAGAATTACATAAAAATAAAAATTAAATTTATACACCGAAAAGATTCAGCCCAAGGTAATATATATGCACCTATTCTCTAAATAATTGAAAATGTGGGTTTTATTGTTTCGTGCGTAAAAATATTACAAATGTAATTTTTATTTAAGTAATTTTTTCTTGTTATTTTTTAAAAAAAAAAACTTCTATCATACATACTAAAAATGACATTTGTATCCACAAAACGCATTCAAACTCTATAAAAAATAAATATTCATTATTTCTTTTCCAGAAATTTTTGTACATTATATTTTCATTGAATGGGCATAAAAATGAACATGCAGCTCAGGGTAATCGAATTGTTGAAAATGGCGTTTTATTGTTTCGTGAGTGAAAAACTGTAAATCATGTAAGTAATTATAATTTTGAATTCTAATAAGAAAGTTCTAATTCAAAAGATTATTTGTTATTTGTTATTTATATTTATTTTTACTTTAGATTTTCATAATGGTGGTGGGATCTTTATTGTTGAATATTATTATTGGATTTCTTATAACGAATATAAAAAGATATTTTTTTCGTTGAATAAATAATAATATTAAAATAAAATTTACACATTTCATTGGTATGCACGAAAATAATTTCTTTTTTCGGAAATTTATACATTTATATTTTCACAGAATATAAAAATGGACATTGAATTTACAAACCGACAAATGAATTTCAAGGCACCTGTTTTTATTAATAAAATGAAATTTAACTTAAGTAATTATTTTTGGTTTTTTTTTTTAACTCTATTATTTAAAAATCTCACTCTAACTAAAAACGCCATTTGTATGCACAGAATGCATTCAAGTTCTATGAAAATTATTTCTTTTTTCATAGATGTACATAAAAATGGACATTGAATTTATACACCGAAAAGATGCAGCTCAGGTGATATAGATTCAGAATGCGATTTTATTGTTTCACGCGCGAAAACATTAATAATAATTTTATATAAGTATCATTGTTATATCATTTTTAAAAAAAAAATATTTCCACCATAAATGCCATTAGCATGCACAGAATTCATTCAATTATTTCATTCTTTTTTCCGAAATTTGCATATTATATTTTTATAGAATATAAAGTGAACATTGAATTTATACACCGAAAAAATGCAGCTCAAGGTGATACAGATATGAATTGTTTCGTGCATCAATAAAAGCCGTAAAAAGTAGTCTTATTAAAGTTATTACTTAGAACAATTCAATGATATTTTATTTATTATTTATTTATTTTATTTTTAGATTTTATTTTTCCTAACGATGGATTTTTTATCTTTGAAATCAAATATATTCATATTGGATTTCTTGTAACGAATATAAATAATATTCTTAAAATAAAATTTACACGGACCAAAAATGGTATTGGAATGCAAAGAATGCTTTTAAGCCTTATGAAAAATGATCATTCATTATTTCCTTTTTCAGGAATTAATACATTATAATTTCATAGAATATGACATTATGAACATTGAATTTGTACACAGAAAAGATACAGCTCAAGGTTTTATAGATGTATCTATTCTCTGAATAGTTAAATTGTTTCGTGCATGAAAAGCTGTAAAACATTTTATTTTAGGTAACTATAATTCTCAATTCTAATTGGCAAATTAAAAAAGTTCAAGTTAATTATTTTTTAATGTCTCCTCTTTATTCAATATTATCAAGTTTAATAAAAATATCAAATTAAATATTTCTGTATAATAATTTTATCAGATTCCGCTTTCTTAGAAAAATAGAATGCATTTATGACGGATGAAATATATTCGAAATGGATTTTTGATCCAAATAATGCAAATAAAGATTGAATGAAAAGATAAAATATAATTAATTCATTATTTCTAATATAATGAATTTCCTTAATATTGTATGTGACTTTTATCAACATATATTCGGATATACAAAACGTGAAATAAATCTTATTTGGATACACAACACATGAAAATAAATCTTACTGATCTTCATTATTCAAAAATAAATCTGGATCGTGCGCTTTAACGTTTTTTATTGGTTGTATTGGTAGTGTCACGTTGCTGTGGGATGAAGCGTGATGGATTTTGTTAATTCGAGAAACGTGGCAAAATGGAAGAATTATGAGGTTCTATAACGGTGTGGCTGGACGACTGATCAAAGGAAACTTTGGCATAATAAACTTTTCCCAAATCAAGGATTGCAAAATGAGAATGTAGAGAATCTATTTCCCTTTTCAACTTAGTAAAGAAGGAGGTGGTCATGATCAAACATTTTAATTTGTGACAATCATTTTTTAATAAATTATTAGTAATAAATTTCATCCAAGTAAATTGATTTTTCACTATACTTGCTTTGCAAATACAAAGAAATATTGATGTTTTTTCAAGAATAATACTTATACCTTCAGAACAATTTAATATAATTTTAACACTTTTATCAAAGTAAATTTCGAATATTTGTTTTTGCTAAGCTGGCTTACGAACAGATTGCAATATGTTTTTTTCTTTAATTACAAATATTCACGAATTTTTTACAGTTTCATTTTACATCCAGAACTTTGAGACATAATTTTAATACATTGTTTAAAGTAAACTACCTTTGAGCGACTCAGTAAAACTGTTCAGAAGGTACGAAAGTAATTGAATATTTGTTTTCACTAAGTTGGCTCACGAACAGATTGAAAGATGAATTTTTCTTTAATTAAAAATACTCACGAAATTTTTCCAAGTTTCCTTTTACATCCAGGACTTTGAGACGTAATTTCAAAGCAAACTGCCTTTGAGCGATTAATTAAAACTGTTCAGAAGGTATGAAAGTACTTGAATATTTGTTTTCGTTAAGTTGGCTTATGAACGGATTGAAAGATGAATTTTTCTTTAATTAAAAATACTCACGAATTTTTTCACAGTTTCCTTTTACATCTAGAACTTTGAGACGTAATTTCAAAGCAAACTGCTTTTGAATGACTAATTAAAACTGTTCAGAAGGTATGAAGGTAATTGAACATTTGTTTTTACTTAGCTGGCTCGCGAACGGACTGAAAAATACTCGCGAATTTTCCACAGTTTCCTTTTGCATCCGGAACTTTGAGACGCAATTTCAAAACAAATTGTTTTTGAGTTACCAATTAAAACTGTTCAGAAGGTATGAAAGTAATTGAATACTTGTTTTCGCTAAGCTAGCTTACAAAGAATTGAAAGATGAATTTTCTATATTCACGAATTTTTTTACAGTTCCATTTCATATCCAGAACTTTGAGATGTAATTTCAATCAAAGTACTTGAATATTTGTTTCACTAAGCTGGCTTACAAATGAATTGAAAGATGAATTTTTCTTTAAAATAAAATGAATAAGGTGGGGCACTTCGTGCACCCATAGTACTAGTTGTTTCTAAAAAATCAAACAACCAATCATTGTAATTAAAGATTTTTTTTAATAAAATATACCTAAGTCCTACCATTGACAATTGACCATAGAATAAAGTTTTACATTTTGATTTAATTAATTAATAGAAATAAAAAAAAAAAAATAAATAAAATTTCTGGGATTAAAAATAATTTATTAGCGGATATGAAATTTGATTAATAAATAGCAATTACTTAATATCTTCCAATAAGAATTCAGGGTAGGAGCATTTTATTAACTTGAATTTTTAGTTTGACTTTGTATATTTTACGATTTAGAAATACTAAATATTTATATGCATTTAATAATAATCGCTTACCGGATTAGAATTTAATCATCATCTATCTTTCTCATGATCTAATTATCAAAATGTAGAATAAATTTATTGCATTAGCATTGTGAAACAACCAATAGTTCTAAATATTAAGGACTACATCAGGAAATCTTATTAGGCGAAAATTTGCGCAAATTTTTATCCGTTTTTTCAAATTCGCTCGCGATTTGCGAGGTGTAGAGCGATTTTCTACACTGGTTCTTGGCTACAGAATGATATGTATTTCATTTGCGTCTTGAAAATTTCCGCAAAATTTCGCACGATTTTTTCACGGACGTCCGAATTTAAATGCGAATAACTCCGCAAATATTAATTCTAATGGAATGAAACACATATAATTCTGTAGCTACGAACAAGTCCTTTCTTCTATCTTAGAAATATCTTAGTAGAAAATCGCTCTGTACCTCGCAATCGCGAGCGAAGTTAAAAAACGAAAAAAAATATAGATAAAAATTTGCGCAAATTGTGCAGGTGTCGAAAATTTGTGCAAATTTTCGCCTAATAAAAATTTCCTGATGACTAATTAATCAAGAATTACCTTTCTGATTCTTACGATTCTTGAAGGGTTTGATGTTAAACTCTATAATTCAAAAAACTGCCCAAATTATTTTTTTTAAAGGAAATTATAAATGAATTATTATATTTTCAGAGAATAAAGACATAAATTTATCTGTTTTTTCGCTTATGATTCTTATTATTGATTTATTTATTTGAATTTAAAAAATTTCTTGACTTTGAATTGTTACCTGATCTCTCAGTTATGCTAAATTTAATTTTAATTAATATTGTAGTTCGAAAATTCAATCAATATTTATTATTTTAAATGAAGTTAATTAAAACTTCATGTTCTTATTCTCGGTCAATTTCTTTTCTATATACACAATAAATAATTTAGCTTAATAAATATTGAATTAGAATTTTATATATTGTTAATTTAATGTTGTTAATTTATAATAAATTTTTAAAATTTCGTTAATTAATACGTATCATATAATTAGCGTTTTAAAAAAAATTTAATTTATAGTGAATGTGAATGTATAAAAATATTCCATAATATATCGTTTATATTGATATCGTATCGTTACACGTCACATTCGTGTCAATTTTTATATATTTATAAAATTTCTGTACAATTAGATTTATAAATTTTATACTCTATACTCTTATTACTCTGCCATATCTTCTTTTATATTCTCATTTAATATATTAATAATGCTTTGTACGTGGATCGATGAGATACAGAAGAAAGAAATGACTTTGTTCACTAGAATTACGCTTCTACTCACGACGACTTCAAAGAATATAATAAAAAAAAAATTGGGATTCTGTTATTATAAAAAAAATCAAAACCTACTAAAAATTTACCAAAATTACCTTTAAATATCATTAAATATGGATATTATTTTAAATATGAATTAAAACCAATTTAAATAATTATAATGAAGATAATATAAATTAAAATCAATAAAATCGATGATAATCTAATTTATACAATTGATAAAAAAATAAAAATAAAGAAGCAATAAAAATAGTAAAGAAAAGAAAGAATTTTATGATAAAAAATTATACAATTAATTTCATTAATTATGAATTATTGAAAGGTAATTAATTAATTTAATATAAAATTATAATATACAATATACATTTTTATCTAATTTGTTGCATCACAATATTTAGTATCTGATAAATATTAAAAGCTTAGACTCCATGCATCGATGATATTAGTGAAATGAAATCAATGAATCAAAAAATTTATATTAATTAGTAATAAAAAGTAAAAACATTAAATTTATATCATTAAACAAGATATGGTATGAATAACTTAAATTATTGGCATTATAAATATGTATATATTTTAAAGGTACTAATAAATTAATTCCGAAGATTACAGGCGAAGGGATTAGAATACCTCGTATATAATTAGATTGTATTGAAGAAGGAGAATTAATGATGACTTCGAATATGATTGCAGTTGATCCTTTATTTCAGTTATTATTATATTTTAATAATTGTTATTTTATCATTTTATTATTTAAGTATTTTATCATTATTAATTGTTATTTTATTGTTTTATTATTTTATTATTTTTTATTAATTATTTATTTATAATTTTATTTGTTAAATTATTAATGGACGTAGAATATTTATTATCAGCACTTGGTTACCAATTTATATTTATTGAACTGCAAAACACCTCTTGAAATATTAGAATGACTAAAAAGGATTTAGAAGACATTGGTATTACTAGAGGTTATACGTGAAAATGTTTTGATGTTTTGTACTTTTAAGAAATGCGAAGGTTTTAGGGCCTGAGATGTTTTTTAAAATTAAAAATATTTATTTAATTCGTGATTCGCGATAAACGGAAAGAGATCTACGAATAAGAACCATACATAATCTCGTTCTGGAATAAGAATATCACAAGAAATACCTTATAAAAGTCCCTTTCTCCATCAACACCATAAAAAGCAATTGTTTTGATTTAAATATATCAGCAAGTTTTGCTGCATATTTAATCAACCAGTTCTTATCTTTGTTGATTAGACATTTAATGGAATTATAAAAATTAAATTGGAAATAAATGAAATAAAAAAAAATAAAACGAGCAATAGAAAAAAATTAATAGTAAACATTTTTAAATAATTGTTAGCAAGCTACAAGCTATGAACAAATATTAAGTTTTATTGCCTTGTTGCAATTACTGTATTACTAATTAGAATACTTATTATTAATGAAATATTTTTAATTAAAGAAAAAAGAGAGAACTGATATATTCTAAAATTAAGTAGTATTAAAAAAATTATTTAAATTCCTTTCATATTTTTATATATAAACTTAGATTATAAAAAAATAAATAATAATGTTCATGATAAACACCTCAGAATTGTTTTTACTGTTGAATTATAATGCAACTAAAAAATATCATTAACATTTATTCAATTAAATTACGGATTTTGACTAGAATGTTGATATTTATTTTTTTATAAAAAATATCTCCTATTAGTTTATACATCAAATTCTTCATTATTAATATCTATACAATATTATCTAAACAACTAAACAACTAAAATTTATTCATCATCATATTTGACCTAATGAAATTCAGCGATTATACATTTACCCTATTTGGATTATTTAGGTTATTTAAAGTTTCCAATATAGTTTTTAAGTTCTGTTCTATATTATTAAATTTTATCTCCTGGTTATCAAATCTTGTCTTGAATTCATTTTCCAGCTTATTAAATCTTTCTTGCAATGATAATTGATCATCAAAGTTTGCAGAATGATCCGGATCTTTGTATAAAGGTCCATTATTTGATTCATTATAAATGACATTCTTTAATAATTTATCATCTGATTTAGAATTTTTCTGTAATTTCTTATTCGAAATAGCTCTTAAGGGAAAAATTTCTTCATCAATGAATGAAATTTTATCAATTTTATTATTAATTGTATCATCATTTTTAGTTGTACTAGATTCAATAGAATCTGGATCCATAGTATTTGAAGAAATTTCATTTTTATATTTTTTTTTTATCTAAATATAATAAAATTTAAATTAAATTTAAATAAACTTGATTCACGTAAGGATGAAAACGTTTTTGCAAGAGAATTCAAATGCAAATTCTTATTACCTTGATTATCATCATCGTCATCACCATTGTCATCACCAATGTCATCATCATCGTTATCATTATTATCATCATTGCGATAATCAGAATTCGTCAATTTAGCCAAATTCTCACCCATAAGGCGTGCTTTTTGTTCTTCATCCTTTTCAGTTTCCGTAAGCCAGGTATTAATCATATCAGGATTAGGTATATAATAAATATATTGAGGATTACCTCTTTTACTACCAAAGGGTTTTTCTAAAGCTTCATAATCAGCAACAAGTTCAGCTCGATGTTTATAAGCTACTGTATGTACGACCTTCTTCACTTGCTTTATCAAATTCAACACTATGGAATTTTGAGAAATCAAGAGAATTAAAGTTATAAAGTTATAAATCAATGCAAATTTTATAATAATTAGATAAATACTTACTTCATAAATGCGATCAACATATTTTGTAAAATCAACACTAATACTATACTTCCTAGTATACTCATTAAATATACAACATAACTATCCCATTGGTCTAGTTGATCCCATCGTCCATTAGTCCAAAAGAATACAGCTACTATTGATAAATATGGATTTGAATAGTAATTATCAAGCCAGGAAGATTTATCGATATCCTGATAAATTGTTAAATTCGAGTATAAGTCTGAATTCGAAGTGTCGTTAATTTTATAAGTAGGATATGATAATCTTGAATCATCCTGATTAATAAGAATGAACCTGGAGATGATCATAATAACGAATATAATCAAATGTAACGATGAAATAAATTAAATTAGTAATGTTTAAAATAATGAAACAAAATTCGTTAGAATTATATTAATTACATAGCGTGGCCAAACGCAATTATGGCAATCAACATGAATGCAAAGAATGGCCAAATAGTTTTTAAAATACTTTTAATAATATAAATAAAACGTCCTGGGTCCACAAAATATCTCATTAGTAATATCTATAAATAAATAAAATAATATTAATAGAATAGAGAATAAATAATTAATAAAAATAACAATAAAATAAAATTCATTTCGTCCCGTCCAGAAAGAGACTAAAAAAGATTTACCAATTCAAGCCACAAAACCAAAGTTGTAAACGCTAAAAAAGTATTATATGCTGATTTTTGCAAAATGAGTAATTGATCATCATATAAAATAGCTGCTATATAATTTGCTAACGGTAATAACAATGATAATAGATCAATCATATTATGAATATTCATATATCTACTTTTTCGTCTTTTCAATTGCACAATCTCCGTAGCAATTAAATACCATCCACTATATATAAATAAACGTGGCAAATTTTTAATATTACATTTGATTTGATGTTAAATAAATAGGCCATTTTTGATTCTCCCTTAAATGAACACGAATCAATTACTAAACTAAACGAACTAATATATAATAAATACAAAAAGATATAATTAATACAATATTGACGGGCAGCTGCCCATTTAAAATCCAAGACTGCCATAATTGTAGGCGTCCGATAAATTTCATCACCTTTCTCTTCATAAATAACGCGATGAAAAGGACTCATTTCTTTAGGATTATTAATAACTTTTTTACGTGGCCATAAAAGTATTCGAAAAAGAGAAACTAGCATCCAAAAATATTTATTATTTCCATTATGATCTTCACGACTGTTGGAGTTGAGATCTTTGGAATTGGGATATGCTGTAAAATCAGGTAATGGGACCATATAAACTTTACGATCACGTAATGTTTGAAACCAATAATACAATCTTTTAACACTTTTAAAAAAAAATGGACAATTAGTAAAAGACAAAAATTGACATAACTCTTCTTTATAATCAATAATTATAATTACCTTGTAAATGGGTTTTTTACGAAAAACCATAGAGTATAATTTAACTTTAATGCAAGACACGGTTTTACTACCAAAGAATGTATCACCGCTGCGTGATCTCCTCTCTTTTTATCATAACACTCTATATGTAATGGTGGAGTGTAAGCTTCAGTAATTCCAAAACATGATTTCTTGAATAAATATTGAACAAATTCACCTTTTAAAGAATCAAAAAGAAGAATTTAATACAATTTGAAAGTGATTAATTAATATAATTGAAAGAAAGTATATAATTGACTTACTTAAATCATTATCATATAATAAAGGTATTGCTTTGGTTACAGTAAGCATCCAACCATAATTATTATATTCTTTAGCATTATCGGTATAATAATCTATTAAATATTTTAAAATTACTGTAGAATTTCCTCTTTCTTGAATACATAAAATAGCATGATGTAAATCTGTCTTTGATCTTTCGGTTCTATTATTATCTTCACCTGCCCATTTATATAATCTCGGAATATATATATTACTATTTTTACCATTAATTTTTTTATTTAAAATTTGATTAATTAAACTTTCTTGATAACTTTTAATAAGAAATTTCATAATTGGATATTTATCGCTCTTTGCAAAATTATGCGGTCATGTGAAAATTTGATAATATAATTGATAGGTATTCGAATACCAAATAA